ATGGTTATATAAATCTACAGATGTTTTTTGTTTTTTTAATATGTGATTTTTCAAAATTTGTGGTTTATTTTCATGTATTCTTTGTATTGACTCTTATTTTTAACGTAGTCATCAAGGATGGTGAAGGCTGTGCTTTCTGCTGTTTTGGTGTTGGCGATCATTTCCTCCACCATTGCCAAATACATCCCGAAGACTGGCAAGAGGATCCCACAGACTCTGTCGAGAGGTCTGTAGCAACCAGCAGAGATTACATGACTAAATTAATATGGATGGTGACAGATGCTGGGACCAACTAGATTCTTACAACTTTTGATATTGTTACACATTTCCAGGATGGGGTGACCAGCTGATCTGGGCTCAGACATATGAGGAGGCTCTCTACTGGTCAAGGTCAAGGTAAGAAACAGTTGAAATGTGGACGACCACAGAGCTTCTCGAATAGAGCAGTAAATGAAATGTGCTGCTTTACAGGAACAAGCCTCTGATGGTCATATTTCACCTTGAGGACTGTCCACACAGCCAAGGTAAGGCTCTGGGTTGTTAGTGGTTGGGAAACATGTTGGTCATGTGTGCCTTCACCTCTGCTTCTGTTCCATGTCCTGCTGCAGCACTGAAGAAAGTTTTCTCTGAAAACAATGAGATCCAGAAAACTCTTGATGAGGATTTCATCGTTCTCAATCTCATGGTAGGTTGCACAGTTTATCAAGTCAGGTTTCCCTGGAAACCAGTGAGCTCTTAAATTTGCATAATGGCTCATTCTTCATACTTCACACTAAGGTGCAGTCTTCAACAACAACCCATTCAGTTATCATTCAGTTTTCTGACAGATTTTGTTAGTCTTTCTCAAATTTTCATTTATGTTTTTTGAAGTATCACATATATACATAGCCAGAAGTGTTTAAGCTGAACAGATGCTGATGTTCAGACAAACAGCTGTAGTCCTGAAAGACTCAAACATGCCGTTTTTCTTCCCTCCAGTATGAAACCACAGACAAGCATCTGTCCCCTGATGGACAATATGTTCCACGGATCCTTTTTGTTGGTAAGTGCTTTGCGTCTGGATTTTCTTTTTTTACATAATTAACAGATTTAATTCTGTAGACTAAAGGCCAAACCTTTATGTATTTGTTGCCAATATGATTCTCTAAAGATTTATATGGTTTAATAATACATGTTGTGTTTCCATGTGGGAACTGTTTAATTTAAGGGAAGGATAAACAAGAATGATTATAAGCAGTGTTTCCTTTGCTTGACTAAACCATAATTTAACTTTGAAGAAGTTAAAGGTGGAGGAACAATAGCCATTTCACCAGTTTGCACACAATCAGCAAACTGGGAATCTCTGTGGAAACCTTTCTCTGTAGAACCTTTCTACAGAGAAAGGTTTCCTTTCTACAGAGAAAGGTTTCCACAGAGATCCAAAAGGTTTCCACCTTTCTACAGAGAAAGGTGAAAACCTTTCTTTCTACAGAGAAACCTTTGCAGTGGTTTAAAAGTTTAAAACATTTTAATTTGTTACCTTCTTGGTAGAATTATGAGGCCAAAGTCTTTCTATTATATACAATGGTATCAATCAATCAATCAATCAATCAATCAATCAATCAATCAATCAATCAATCAATCAATCAATCAAAATTTATTTGTATAGCACAATTCAGCAGCAAGGCATTTCAAAGTGCTTTTCATCATTAAAAACAAAAACAGTCATGTGACATTGAATAAACAATAAAATAAAATAAAAATAAAATAAAAATAAAAAAAACATTAAAACCCGCACCCCTTTTCTGACTATATTTTGATCTGTCAGGACTTAAACTTGTCCTGACTACAAGTTTAAGGGAGAGAAGGAGAAAATATCTGCTTTGCTGTAAACTCACCACCATCATTCACTAATGATAAAATTATCTGTTCACGTATACAAACTAGTTATGTTGCAGATATCAGAAACAAGCATACTATATATGAAACATTTATGTATTTTCTTATTTATGCAGAGTACTCATGCACATCTCATCATTTACCTTCTCAGTGTTTGTTAACTTCCCGGGGATAAAACTGCAGCCAACTGGTTTAAAGGCAGATACTCTGCTTTACTTCATACCAAAATAAAAGTTATACTGTAAAATTCACATTCAGCAAAGTATCTGTTTTTTCCATTCAGTGTTTTTTGTTAGTACACAGAAAGATGTTCATTTTCCAAATCCCAAACCATATACTTACAGGCAGAGGCAATTAATAAAGTTTGTCACCAAACTGCCTTTTGAATAAGTGACAAATCATTTTCTTGTTCCTACACATAATACAGGATGGTTATCAGACATCTCTTCAAAGTAGATGCTCACAGATCTTGACTAGTTGCACTTATCCAGGGCTCGTCTCTTCACAGACCCCTCCATGACAGTGAGGGCTGACATCAATGGACGCTACTCTAACCGCATGTACGCCTATGAAACGGGTGACATCAGCCTCTGTAAGTGCTGCACATGTGTGTTCTGCAGGCTGTGTGTATTCAGCTGAAATGCACAAAATCATTGCTTCTTGTTTCTCCCTCAGTGATAAGCAACATGCAAACAGCTAAGAAGCTCCTGAAGGCTGAACTGTGAGGACCCGGACTCCACCCAGTCTGTCACCACTGATCAGATAAAACTCTGTTTACCACTAACCTTTATGATTTTCATCCTAAATAAAATGTACTGATTCTTACAATTTGTGAAGCTAATCGTCTGGACATATATTTGATTTATGTTGATCAAATATACTGTAATATGAATTAATTATTTTGTTTGTCAATACAACACATTAAAACAAAAAATGTGTCTTATTTGTTTTGCTTCAACAGTGTTCCTGGTGTCCTTAGAGAGCTCTTTGGTCTCCCTCTGGTGGGATTACATGAATTACAAGGGTCTCCCTTAAATAGTTTCAACCTTTACAACATGTAAACATAATTTCGTCATATAAGCCCTAACATACAAAAGGTTTGAACAACTTGTCATAATGTATCAAGCATATTTCTATGTTTCCATTAGACTTTTATTTAATATGATCTGAATTTGTAAATTGCTCCCAGGTAAATCCTGACTTTCTCTTGTACAGGAGCATTAGATCCTGCATATCCTCTCTTGTTAGAATATCTATCACAGACAGACAGACAGACAGACAGACAGATAGATAGATAGATAGATAGATAGATAGATAGATCAACCATTGAGCAATCAGTTTTCTGAAATAGATTGAAGATGCATCTCATGAACCATTAGTTGGCAAGAAAATGGTCAATACAGCCAGAGCTCAACACGATCTTACACTTCTTACAATGGAAGGACGACGATTTAGTCGAGGTCAACAGCCAGAGAGAGGAAGAGGAAGAGGAGTGAGGCTGTGATAGAGGGGTAAAGAGGTGAAACAGAAGAAGAGTCAGAAGAGGCTGAGGACATCTGCCAGTTTCCATCAGTAGAACATCAGGATTTGGTTTATGACCCATAACAGGACTGTGATGGACTTCCTCTCATTCTGCTCCTCGCTCTTCAACCTTATTGAAGAATTTTTCTCAGCATGGAGAAGGAAAGTATAGGCACTGTAATTCTTACAGCACTGAATGTTCAGGAAACTGTCTCATGTCCCTATTTCTATTTCTATTTTTTATTTGTGCTCTGTAGTGCTATCTTTTTATTTTTGACATGGTCTGTCATCAACTTACAGTAAAATTATAAATGTGAATCTTCGCTCCGGCTCGGGACCAGCACCGATCTCCCACAATTACAACTCATACTTGTCATCAAAATAAGTAATGTTTTATCATCCCTCAAAACTACACCAAGACTATACTGTCACACTGAAAACATGACTAACCAATTTGACTGCCTCGCCCACACGTAATGAAACAAGGACTTCTCATTCAGAGGTTCACAGATACAGTTAAGTAGGATTTAATAGACTGATGTTTGTACAAGTTGTTTTGAGACACGCTCACTGTTTAGCAGAATGATTTGAGAAATGCAACAAGGCAAGGCGACTGAGAAAAACTGAATGTTGTGCATTTCAACTTTGTTTAATTTTATAAACATTAACTGTTCTTTTGACTTTTCACTGTTTCTCTGTAGTTTGTTTAGATTTATTTATGATATTTTTGTATAGGGGCAGAAGCTGCTGGACTGATGCTAACCACTAACTTCATTTTCTCTCTTGTTAGAATATCTATAACAGATAGATAGATAGATAGATAGATAGATAGATAGATAGATAGATAGATAGATAGATAGATAGATAGATAGATAGATAGATAGATAGATAGATAGATAGCAAAGTGGAGTGTTGCGAAACCTTACAAAGACTGAGTGTTGTCCTTCAGGCGGAGGCGGGGTGCGGGTTGTGACACGGGGAGGACTAACAGATTTTTAGCAGTAGGGACTTTTCTTGAACGCAAGTATTTGCTCATATTTTTATCCACTGAATGAATTGATAGGTAGATTTTTTTTTAACTCTCTGTGTGAGATTCTGTTTATGTAAGAAACGAGGAATTTATATTTGAAGGTAACATAAACATGTCACTAAAGGAAAACTTATGTAGACGGTTTTCTCTAACAGGATTTTCTGGATCCGCAGCCCTTTACTACCAACTGGTGGAGCTAATGCAGCAGCGCGTCGTTTATGAAGAGCCACTAAAGCCGAAAAGAAGAGTGGCGTTTTCCGCATTCCTCCTGCACCCTGCAGTCAGCTCGCAGCTCCGCTCCGGTTCGGGACCAGCACCAAGCACCGCCGCGCCGCTGGGTGGGAACTTCCCATCATACATGGGATCGTAGTCCTTTCAGCGGAACATTGGAGCAGGAACAAACCGGGGGCTGAGACTGTGAGTACTATTATTATCAATATTCATTTGTTTTATTCATCATACATTTAGTTCCTGCGATGTTGCCCACGGCCTGTTTTAAACGGAGGAACAAAACTGCTCCTATTTCTCACATTAATGTTCTGACATTCCACGGCGGGTGGGGTGGGAAAACACTCAGAGGGTTTGAACTGGGGACGGAGGCACCCAGTTGAGTTAAAAAAAACAAAACATTATGACTACTCTTTTAATAAACATTTAAGGGTAAATTGGTTGCCATCCAAGTTGTATGTGTTTTATTGAGCAATCAATTTTTTGACCATTAAGATAATTTACTGTAGAAAATAGTTATGGTTCTGACTTCCATTTGTTTGGACCTGGGTCCACTGGGTCCAGTTGGCCTGCAACTTTTTTCGTGATCAGCTGGACTTTATTGGGGGGATTCCAAGTTCCAGGACACAATGGCAAGTTTTGTCCTAGTTATAGAATATGACTTGTTCTCATTTCTTATTGAATAAGTGTTTTTGAAAAATGTTGCCTTAAAAAACTTCCACATGGTACAAAGGCAGCTGGCTTTTTTATAATACAGAAAACTGACAAAAATTAAAAACTCCACATTACTGGACAGTTGTTTGTACAGCTGAAAATAATGGAGGTGTTTATATTGTCCTGTACTTCAAATTATAGAACAAATATAATTTTTAGGCCCCTGACTTGAAATCAAAAACACAACTGTTGAAGTACAAATTTTAAAGGACAATAATAAATTATCATAAATTCTGTGTGACTGAACCATCCCTTACCTCACTCAGATCATTAGGGAAAAAGGGAAATACAGCTCAGTGTTTGCTGACCTAACTCACCTAATGAGGAAGTACTTTCTTACTGCAATTCCTTTTTTGGCATGACTTTCTTTGTATTTTTCGAAAGCTATAGACACGGGCACGAATCTTCATGCGCTTGGTTCATGAAACAATTAGAAGTCCATTATTTAAACAACAAAAATGACAACTAAATCCTAGTTGGTATTCTGCCGTTCCTCAGCTTCATGGTTGTACAGTTCATTACAATTTGCACCACTAGTGCCTCTTACTGCCTGCTCTTGTGCAGAGGATATAAATTAGCTAAGACAGAACTGGCTTTCCTCACTGACTCTTTCTGTCCCTCTTGGTGTTACCACACCCCCAGCAAACTGCAGCATAAAACACTTGAGATGCCACTACAGTGTCAGATGTTTTTAACAGTTTCTTGAACACACTGAGACCCGAGTCTCTTCAGAAGATGGAGGCTCTTCCTGTACTTCCTGTACAAAGATTTTGTGCTGGAGGACCTGTCCAGTTTTTTGTTGAGGTACTGAAGCTCCACCACAATGTCAGTGTCCAAACCCTGGATGTTCACTGGGGGTGTCTACAGACTTCTTATCAGAGAGTCATTCATTGCCACTAAAACAACATATTAAATAATCTGATATTGTTATTAGGTCATATGAAACATGACCTCGCCCTAAATCCCAGAAATGTATTTCCTGGATGATATGTTGAAATATTTTTGGATTTTTTAAAAATGCAAATAAATACAAAAAAAAAGTGTTTAATTAAAAATAGACTCTAGTTGATGTCATGTTTGCATGTTATATGAATTTATTAAATGAGAGAAAACAGCCACTTCCATGTTATTATTCAACTGCACAAATATTTCAATTCAAAATGAGTGCAACAAATACAATTTTCTTTTTTACTATCTACATTTAACATACAGTACTAGCAACTGTACAAATATTTCAACACAGGAAGTGCAGAAAATATTGTTTTCCCCATTCTACATATGACATTAGTACAGCATTGCAGTTTCATAGCTTTCATGAGCTCCTCTCCTGGGGTTTCCTCCTCAGACTCTCCAACTTGCTCCTCCTTTAAAGCCTCCATTACTGTGTCTTCATTATATACCTCTTCTTGGGTTTCTGATACGGTCTCTGTACTTTGCTCCCCCAACTGTTGATCCACCATTGCTACCTGGCCTTCAACTGCACTTCTCTAACATGTCGACATGTAGGGAGTTGGTTGAGTGAACAAAATCTTGCCTAAGATCAGTAGCACACTGCTGGTGGATGCTTAGTGTACTACGGAGCAGAAAGCTCATCAGCTGTCGCAGGGCAATACAGAGACAGACAGGACAAACAACCATGCACACACACACACACACTTAGGGACAATTTAGAGAAGCTGAAGTACCCAGAGAGAACCCATGCATGCACAGGGAGAACATGCAGAAAGGCACTGGGCTGGGAATTGAACCCAGAACCTTCTTGCTGCAAGGTAACAGCTCTACCAACTGCGCCACTGTGCAGCCCCCATCTGCATTTGAAACATTATGAATTAAACATTAATAAACATTCCGATGTGTAACGATGGCACTTGACAAATTGTAATCCTTTTGTCCTCTATGACTTTGTATTTTTGTGTTTTTATGGTGTAAAGCACTTTGTTGTTTCTTGTTGCTGAAATGTGCTGGACAAATAAACCTGACTTGACTTGGTGGGCCAGTCTGTCAGTCAAACATCTCTCACAGCAGAGAAGAAGAGGACACTGGTTGATTTTTAGACTTTTTTTAAAGATCGGTGGATAAGATCGGCATCAAATGTCAATGATCTTCCAAAATTAATTAAATTGGGGCTGAGGCTGGCTGATTTATAGGTCATGGCGTAAATTGTGGAGTTGACACTGTACAGTGCATGATTTAGTGAACAACATAATATTTTGTGTAACATGGATCACTACAAATCTAAAATGGACTATTTTACTTTCTGCAGTGGACAAAGAAGATCCATGTGAAAGCAAATCAACATGGCCCTGTTCAAGCCTGAGAATGTGGAAGACTTCTATGAGATTGAGGAAGTTTTGGGGAGGTAATGTTATACACACTGTGTGTGTTTTAATGTTTGGGAGATTTGCTGACAAGCAATCAGTATGTATCAATGTGCATCAAGTATTAGGAACAATCTGGACCTTTAGAGATTGGTTTAAAGCAGTGGTTCCCAAACTTTTTCTCCTGGGCCTCCCCTATGGATTACAAATAGCTGTCTAGCTGAACGATGTGTGTGTGTGTGTGTGTGTGCGTGCGTGCGTGCGTGTGTGGGGGGGGGAGGGAAGAGGATTCTTAGAGACTCCCTGTCTCTAACTTTTTGGGGGGCAAAATGAATGTCCTGGCTAGCTGGACATAGACAACAACATCGGTAGCCTACAGGCTACTTGTTAAGCTTAAGGTACTGTATTGATATTAGCTAGCTAGTCATCCTTTAGCTAACTTTACCTTCATCCAACAGCTTCACTCAACTCAGTCGGTTAGTTTGGGGGAAAACTGTGAAAAGTTCTTTGCGTTTTGCTGGTTTGCTGCCATGATTCTAACAACACCTGCGTAGCTCTGCACAGCAGCAGCAGGTCTCCTTTGCTGCCGCACGGCGTAAACCCAGCGCAAGCGTTGTAGCGCTCATGTTGCGTTTAAACACGGCTCGGAAAAACAGGTTACGACACGTTAACAACGGATTAAACAGTCTTAACTGCTGTTAAAAGTGACAGAGGACACAGTTTGGGAACCTCTGGTTTAAAGAATGAAATGAACTGGCTGGTGCAATTTAGTGGTAAATTGCCTTTCTTGCAATGTCGTGTGTTTGAGCAGAAATTCAATATAAATGTGCAGAAAAAAGGAGTAAACTTGAGTTTGATTTGACTCTGAAAGCACTACAGTTACAAAATCTAAAATAAACTCACATCTCACTTCTGTAATTCTTCAGGAGTTCTGGCTCATGCTAACTTAGTATTTCTATGGTTTTGATTCTTATCAAAACCATAGAATCAAGTTACAAACCAGGTTACAAACCAAGCTCTGTTAGCTTGGTTTGTTGCTCACTCACAAAAACCAGCAGCTGCTTAAACAGAGAAGAAACCTAATAGATTAAACTCTTAGACACTGTAGGACAAACAAATCTGGCCTTAGTCATATTTACACTCATATTGACTGGATGGAGCCACACAAGGCAGACTGACAGGTTTCTAAGTGCTGCCAAGGGATGAACCCACTGGCCATTGCTACTGCCAACAGCTGATCTATGAACTTCCCAAAGAGAGTCTGCGTTGGTGCCCAGGTAGTTTGGTCCACTTTTTTCAAGGAAATGACCCAACCTACTTCAAATTTAAAAGGGCAGATTTCCACTCTACTTGTTAAAAATGTTCTCATCAATGTTCAAATAGGACAATTAAGGCTCATGGCAGGCCATCTGAGGAGATCTTATTGAGTGTTTTTAGTCAGGGCAGTCCTGGTGCTTGATGGCCAGGACTGGAGTTCCCACTCCTGTTCTAGATGTATGCTTTAGTCTATTACCAAGTTGAAGGACCCATTGACCTGTTAACAAAACTGAGCTTTCTGACACTTGACTGTATGTTTCATTTGAGATTGTTTTGATTGTCTAAACCAGTGGTTCCCAAACTTTTTCTTCTGCGCCCCCCCAGTGGTTTCCAAACATTTTCTGTGCCCCCCCCTATGGATTACAAATGGCTGTCTGGTTGAAAAGACGGGGGGAGGGGGGTATCGACTTTTTTGGGGGCAAAATGAATGTACGTAGCTGAAAATAGACGCCAACATCGGTAGCCTACAAGGTACTTGTTAAGCTTAAGGTTCTGTATTGATGTTAGCTAGTCATCTTTTAGCTAACATTACCTGCATCCAACAGCTTTACTCAACTCAGTCGGTTAGTTTGGAGGGAAAAACTGTGAAAAGTTCTTTGCGTTTTGCTGGTTTGCTGCCGTGATTCTAACACAAACCTACGTAGCTCCGCACAGCAGCAGTAGGTCTCCTTCACAGGTGGAAACCTAGTGCGAGCGTCGTAGCGCTCATGTTGCGTTTAAAGGCGGCTCGGAAAAACAGTTTACAACATGTTAACAACGGATTAAACAGTTTTAACTGCTGATAAGTGACAGAGGACACAAATATGGGAGGTGTGGAAGCCTCTACTGTATCAAATTGACATAGGAATAGCAGAGAGTTGCCCATTCTAAGGTAAAAACCCAGCGCATACAGTGTTCATGTTTTGTTTTTGTTTTTCATCTAGACGGCTTCCCGCGCCCCCCCCCCCCTGCAATGACATGGGGCCCCCCCTAGGGGGCGCGCCCCACAGTTTGGGAACCTCTGGTCTAAACAATCCAAACAATTGTTTTGTTTTGTTCCAGGAAATGATTGCTTCCTGGAGCTAGACTCCTTTTTCCTTCTATATACAACTTGCTAAAAGCTTCAGTTTTATCTCAAAGGACATTATCCTAGAAACTGGAGCATGTCAGCATTCATCTTTGGTCTGTTAAAGTCTGGTCTTTCTGTGTTTTTCAGTCAAAATTTAATCCATTCTTGGTATTCTTCCACAAAGCCCAGAATGGAAAGGTGTTAGGGTTAGGAGTAGGGTAGGGTAATGGTATGGGTAGGGTTGAACAGTTACATTTCCCCTTTTGTTAAGATACCAAAAGTTTGGGTATAGTTCCATGAACCTTAAACTCATAAATAATGTGGTAACAGGAACAAGTAGCTGGTTTTGTGGCATTTATAAAGACATGAATTTATCATACTGAAAAATTATTTTTATATATATATATATATATATATATATATATATATATATATATATATATATTTTTTTTTTTTTAATTACTGGAATAATCCAGTAATTATGCAATAACAATTTTTTAATGAGATTGGTGGTCTACTTGATAAATGAGCACCACCAATCTCTTAATTAATTTATAACTCTAAAATCAATTGTTTACCTTCCCAGGTAAACCATTTTCATCATCATATATTTCAGAAGACCAGAAATTTTCTTTGTTTCTCAGTCCTTTAAATTATTGTCCAATCACAGATAATTTATGTGTCTGCCTTTATAGGTTTATACCAGTCCTTATCCTACTTTACTGTACATAGAAGATCTGGACTCTTGTCTATTGAGAAATGATTGCTTCCTGGAGGAAAGGAATCTGTTGAAGTTTGAAAGTTTACCCAATCACCAACGTTTGGGAGTGACGTATGTAATGTAAAATGTTTATTGGGTTTTGGGTGAAGTATGGGAGAACTTTAGCATCCTGCTGCAGTTCAGCCACATTCATATTCAGTTGATCACTGCAGGTATAACATCAGCAGGTACATTTAAAATACAATACAACATAATATGAGCTAAGTGATTTTCTTTCACAGCACAATAGATTGTATTAGAACTGTCAAAGCTGCCTTGAATCCATAACCTGTAGATAGGGTCTTTATGATTGTATTGTTAAATGTATTCTTGGCCCATTTAGTGGGCACTTTGGTCAGGTTCGAAAAGTCTGTGAGAGGACATCAAGGACTCACTGGGCTGGCAAGTTCCTAAAGATTCGAAAAACGGCCTGCAGCCGTCTGGGTCTGGACAGGACCAGCGTGGAGCGAGAGGTGGAGATACTACAGATATTACACCACCCAAATATTGTGGCCCTCAAAGACGTCTTTGAGAGTCGATCAGAGGTGGTGCTCATCCTGGAGCTGTAAGTGTTTTTCTGTAATTTGTTTAAAAGTTTAATATATACATTGTAACAGTCTTCTGTTTAATATTTTAAGTGTTAGTGGAGGAGAGTTGTTTGACTTCATTGCTGAGAAGGAGAACCTATTGGAATGTGAGGCCATTGAGTTTCTAAAGCAAATCCTGGAAGGACTGAAGTTCATGCACAAGAACAACATTGTCCATTTCGACTTAAAGGTAACATCAACATGGCATTTTGAAAAACCACTTTTCACTACAATGTCAAATAACAAAAATGTGTTCTACTCCAAATTTAGCCTGAAAACATCATGTTGTCGGACAAAGGTTCCCCGCACCCCAACATTAAGCTCATTGACTTTGGCTTGGCTCACCGTTTTTGCCAAGGAGAGGAGTACAGAAGCACAAGTGGCACTCCCCAGTACATTGGTAAGGACAATAAAAAAATATTTTATGCAATGATGATTACATGATGGTGGTAATGGTGGGAGGAGTTCAGCTCTTTTCAATTTCTACTCTGTCGACCTCTAGCATTGTGTCCTTTGGTAAGACACATTATCCACCTTGCCTACTGGTGGTGGTCAGAGGGCCCAACAGGTAGTGCCGGTGCATGGCAACCTCGCCTCTTTCAGACTGCCTCTAGGAACACCTTCTAAATCGTCCAGTTTGAGTGAGAAGCAAACTTTAGAGCTGTAGCCGTGACAGCAAGCTAGACGACCAATCAGCAGTGTGATTGGTGCGCTCTCAGCTTCATACCTTGGTCTATGCATCAACTATAAACCCTCTGTCAGGAATGATTCTGCTCTGCTGATGAAATGCTGAACGCAGGAGAGACGCATGCAGTCTGGGCGGCCCGGCAGGCTTTTAATACTCTGGGGGAACCCTGCTTTGGGTTTGATCAGAGGCCCCACAACAGCTGTGCCTACAGTGTAGCTTACCATCATGAGCATGTGAATGGATGGATGACTGAATGTAGTGTGAAGTATCTCTGGACTAAATGAAGCGCTATACAAGTACAAGTATAGTCTGCAAATAGCACACCAATTGTATCACTGGTTTAGCTATTTTTATGGAAGACTTGAAGTATTGCTTTTGGCCCAGTATTTGATTTCTGAAATTATTTTTTGTTTCCTACTAATTGTTTTAGACTTTAATTTATTCCATTATGTTTAATAACATCAGTCGGGGATATTATGTAAAATTGTAAAAATTGTAACCGTATTAAATAAAAGCACAGAAAATCCACATCCAGTCACATGAAACAATTAATTACATTTAATCACATTTATTCCCTTAATTTGATCACATAAACCCATTTTACTTCAGCTCTATTTAGAACAGTAAAACTCAATTTGAAGACTAATTTATTACAGTTGGAATTAATCCAGTTGTTTTTCAGCCCCAAGCTTCTGACTGAGCTTCACAGCATCAGTTTTTTATTACTTTTTCTTTTCTTGTTTTTGCTTTAGAAAACAGCATGCAGCAGTATTTCTAGACATACACACTGAAAAAAAGAAGAAACCACACATTTAAGTGCTTGTATAACATGTACAAGCTGCAACTTGCAAGGGAGCACAGAGCACTCTGCACTGGAGCAGCAGGAAAACCAGATAACTATCATACTAATATACAGGGGTGCAACTACACATTATTCAGGTGGATGCGAAAACATAAATTGGCGCCCCTCATCCCCCTCTCCCCCGAAGGAAGGTTGAAGGAGCATGGAAAACATACGCTCGCTCCTTCCCCCCTCCTCCCACGAAGTTACGTGAAGGGTAAACTCGCTACATTTACCTCGTCTCGTGCGCGAGGTGAAGGAGTATAAGGCGCGCTGAAGTGTATGGGAAAACATCATCGGCGCGCTGCCCCCTCCAGACGGGGTTTTGACGCCCCCTCTGGTGCTGCGCCCCTATGCGTTGCATGGGCCTGCATACCCCCTTTTTGCGCCACTGCTAATAGATTGAGAAAATAAAGCATGGAATAGGGTGGATCTTTATTGTCCACCAGAGTGGACCATTAATCTTACCACCAGGCTACAATAAATTACAAGAAAGAAGAAACAAGCACAACAAAAGAAGAATCAAATAAGTCTATCATAATTAAAACTCTCCACAAAAGGTTTCGTGAACACATGAGGTCTTTCAGTCTTCTTGATGCAATAAATATTTGTTTTGCAGACTTTATTGTTCACCATTTTAACTGAGATTTCTGTTTATGTTTTAGCGCCTGAGATGATCAGCAACGAGCCTCTCAGCACAGCAGCAGACATGTGGTAAGAATTTAACACTGAATGACCTTTTAAACATGATCAGACCAGACCTTCTGCTTGTGTAAACCTGGATCTTTGTTACATTTGAAATACAGTTTTGAAAAGGTTTAGCCAAACTGCTTTACTACTACTATTGCTGTGAAGTAACTGAACTCCAAACCATTGACTGCATGTTGTGTTTCTCTTCTTTTTAGGAGCATTGGAGTAATTACCTATATACTGTGAGTTGATATTTTATTGGCTCACTTGCTACTTGTATTCCATCCTCTTTTCATGGCACAGGGCACACTGTGAGAACTTACTTCAATCTGATCAGAGATTATGCTGTTGTCTGTTGATGTCTCCATATCATTAGATTGAATTTTAATTCCTGGCTTATATAGGGCTTGGTCTTTATTTTTTTAAAGACCTCAGTGGCACTTGGCCTTTACTCAATAGTAGCTGGACAGTAGAAAATGCATAAGGCAGAGGTGTTCGAACCTTTTCCAACAAGGGCCACAAGTGTGAAGTTAAAAAGTCGTGGGTTACAAAAACTTTATCTTGTTTTGAAAAAAAAAAAAAAAAAAATCTATTCCATTGTAAAAACACACACACGTTATTAATGAAACGTATTAACCTGATTTCTATATATAAATAATCTGCATTTTACATGTTAATTGTATTGAAAGCTATATGATATGAGTCTCTAACTTTGTGTAGTTTAACTGGTTGTATCCAGTTCTACTTTTGAGAAGGGGGGTATCAAATTAAAATCAAAATAAAAAAAATAATAAAATGAATAGTTTGTTAAATCAAGTCAAAAGAAAAAATGAATACATTTACACAATATTCTGCAAATATTCTTAGTAAATAGTCAGACATTTCTGTAATATTTGAAGGTGTACTTGAAGGTGTTTCAAAGATTTTTTTTGTTTTTTTTTTCAGCATTTCTGGGTGGTCATCAGTACTTGAAATAGGAAACAGGAAAAAAATCCAGAATAGTGAGACCTGACAGATTCATCAAATTTAGGTGATCATCAGTTTGCTAGGGTTTTAGCCAGTAGCACATCAGGGCTGAAATATGTTCTTTTTGTCAAATGGTTATCTTTTGTGTTTTTAAAGAAATTGGTCACACACATGTAGTAGCTGTATGGATTCAGGTGTTCACAGATACACTTTCTTGGGTTATAGCTTCCATTAATTAGTACCACCGTGTGCTTTCCACTGACTTGGCTGTCATAAATGCATGTGGTGTTTGTCACTGCAGTTTCTTGACTCTCTGTTCTTTTTATCTTTTCTGCAGGCGTAGAAACAGATTTCTACGGTGTATTCTTGTATTTCCTCTATACTCTCTGTAGTTCTTCCTTTTCTCTATCTTTATCCTCCTCTTCACCTTTTAACTTTTTGCCCTATATCTTCCTTTCTTTTGATGTAACTGTAATGCTACAGTTGTGAAAGTAAATCTTTCTGGCTTCTCCTTTAAACATGTAAAAAAGGGAAAAGACATCAAAATGGGTCATTGATTATGACGGATTTATCTCTTTAGTTTAGGTGTGTCAGGCTGGGTTTGTCACGATGATTTATAGCTCAGAGTTAATTAAGGTTAACGAGTCCTTAAAATGGTCAAGTAATGAACCTAACAAGAGTAAAAAATTCTGAGGTGCAGTTGGCCCAAGTGGAGACATAAAAACAGCTGTCCCATGATTACAATAGCGGTACATAAAGCAAACAGAACAATAATGATATGCAACTGAGGCAACAGGAAGTGAGGTCAGGAAGTGGACAATGGAAGGATCTGATGAGGAAATTAAACTGACTGGCTTTTAACTGTTGGGGAAGGACCAAACTCTGAATCTGAGGGAAAGTGACTCATAAACACACCATCTGGTTTTAACAAATCAAATGGATCTGATGAATCTACAACAAGATATTTTGTGAACAGAACCATACTAAACGATAAAAGAGAATAACCTTAAAATAAAATGTAGAGCAATATACTAAGAAAGGAACACAAGAAAGAACTAACTCAGTGAGCTAATGGAACACCATTAGTCACAAAATAAACAACTTAGTAAAATGCAAATACCAGAATCAAAGTAATGAACAAAATATGAATCATGACAGAGTAAAAAAGCAACCAAAGTCTAAAGGATAACTCTGGTAAATCTTCACAATATCAGGGGTCTTTCTAAGGATTGTGTAGGATACAACAAGTGTATGTGCACCCAAAAGGCAAAAATGGCGTAGGCCAAAAAATGTTCAGGTTTATAAAACTATGTGTATGCACACCATCTCAGGTATCCTTTACTGGACATTAGACAAAATGATGAACCTTACTGACTCCGATCTTACGTTATTGACTTGTTTTTCTTCAGAAAGAAGTTGGTCGAATCTTTACTCTGAGATTCAAGTCCTGTAAATCACATCATGTGAACAAAGAAGATCCACTTAAATGAACAGGCAGAAACACTTTGAATGAATGAACTGGGATCTGCACACAATGTAGTCTCTCTAATCCTGTGCTTTCTCTCCTTAGATTGAGTGGTTTGTCTCCATTCCAAGGTGAGACTGATGAAGAGACTCTGAAGAACGTCATTGCAACCAATTATCAGTTTAATAAGCATTACTTCAGCATGACCAGCTCCATGGCCAAAGATTTCATCATGAAACTTTTGATAAAAACCCCCAAGTATGTAACATAGGTACAGTATCTGTCTTGTGCATGCATAGAACTTCATAGAAACTAAACTTTTAACAGTTTAGTAATGATGTAAATAATCTGGAACAGTAGTTTTAAATCCTTAATACAAATCAAATTCAAAGGTTCATTTAACTGTTCCCATTAGTTTGATGGATTCCATGTTTTGAATGATTTTAAATTGGACCTCATTCTACAACCACACAGTCTGTTCAAATTTTGTCATTCATTATTACTCCATATCAGCTTTTAGTTGGTTTTTGACCTTTATTTTTTAATGAATGTAATACATATACCTGCATTTGAGGATAACAATGGACAATGCACATGTAACCAGTTTATAAGCTATAATAATAGTAATAATAATAATAATAATAATAATGATGATAAGCAGTGTAAGTAGTATTGCTACACAAGTAGGGCAAAAAGAAGCACAAAGAAATTGTACCGTTTGAACTTCTTTGTTCTACTCATGGGATAAATAATGGGAGAAAAATATCAATAGAGTTCTTAACTGCATTCAAACAGAAACTGCTTTAAAACCACCAGCCTAAGACCTATAAAAAATTCTTTGACTTTCTTAAACACCATGTCTTTACCAAGAAGAGAGTTCAAATACTTAACATTTTTCTCGAAGCTCCAAATTGTGTTTCATTCCAATTATTTGAATGTTATTTTAATGATTAATCTGAGTCCTTCAGAGTGGACTGAAGGGCTCAGTCCACTCTGAAGGGCTGAGTGGACTCTGAGCTCTTCAGAGTTTACTCTGAAGAGCTCAGATTAATCATTAAAAGACAAAGTAAATGACATCAACACCCAGATGCTGTAGTTTCGGAAATCGTATATGAATATCAACCTACGTTGATATTCATATACTATATTTACTTGCTACATTAATTTCAGCACTTAAGAGCTGTAACACATTTTAATACAGCGGAGATCAGGGCAATTGTTGAAACACCTTTCACCTATCTATCTAATCATGATTTTGTGTTATTGTATGTTTCAGTGAAAGAATGACAGCTGAAGAATGTCTTGTACATCCATGGATAAAGGTTGCAGCAACTCTTTCTTTCTCAGATAGCATATTTACTGTATTAAAATAAGGACTTTGGGAGCTCCCAGTCATTGACATATCTGTTGTTAATCTGTTTTAGCCCATCACTCGCACACAGGCGGACAAAAGGAGCCGATCTTCAATCAATATGAGAAGCTTTAAGAAATTTAACGCCAAAAGGAAATGGAAGGTGTGTTTAAAGATGATGAAATGTTAAATCTTTAAAGATTTTTCCCCCAAATATTTTCTACAATAAAGTAAGGAGAATACAGCATAAGTAGGGGTAGCTCTACTCTCTACCTCAGCTTTTTAGCAGTCAGTATGACAGATAAACAGTACCTGCTAATCACCAAGTCTCTTTTTGAAATAATCATAGAACCAAAACTGGAACTGCTCCCAATGAACACTGAATTTTTTTTTTAAAGTTTCTACACTGTAAAGTATGCGAGGGAAGCAAAACTAAGACAGTTTTCTGGGTATTTATTTAAAGGTGTGGCTAACAACGAAAGGAAGGCACCGTTTGTTTCCGAGGCTAAGCTGAGCTACTACATTTCTACAGTGTGGTTATGGGTCATTGTGGTTTTACAGTGTTCAGTTAAGCAAAAGTTTCAGGCAGTAAGCAGGAGAACAGTGAAACGGTGACAGCTGAACAGTGTTTCCTTAGCACTGGTTGTTACTTACAATTTCATGTGGGAAACATCTGAGCAGCATTGTCTTTTGCACTTCTTAATTTCACCTCCTATCTGGAACTTTGTCTGATGCTCTACAGCCACCTTCTAAGACCGAAGTGGTTGGTGGACATTTTTTTGTATTAAGTTCTCCAGTTTTCCAAAATGGATGCCACCCAAGTCCTGCAATGAAGATTTTACACTTATGAAGGAACACAAGCAAAGTGAAATGAAGTCAGTATCAGTTGATAACACTCTTCTCTCCTTCAGACATTCTCTAACTACTCAAACTATTTATTAATGACAAACTAATAAAATGAAAACATGCATAATAATAAAAGGTTCATTGTCACACTTAATGCAAACCACGCAATCCTGGGTAAAACGGTTCAACCTAATTACAGAGAGTTGCTATTTTCACATAGTTCAGGCGTACTGGGGCAATAAGCATAGCATAACTAAAAATATTACCTTGCCACTGATTATCAAGCAATCGGACCACCTACCTAATGCTGAATAAGTTTCTGATTTGCAAACCAAACAGTTCTTTTTTTTTAGAATACTTTATATAATATAATGCAACTTATACAACTTACAATATGCTGTACATGATTTTCAAACAAGCTTTAAGTCTAAGTTCTATCCGTTCTTCAGATGTCTTACAACATGGTGTTGATGTGTAACCGGCTCGTCAGTCTGAGGCTACCATGTAAGAGCAACTCCAATCCAGATCCACTGCAGGTGAGAATTAAAACCTATTCTAAAGTTTGAGTCCACTGATCGGTCTGATAACAGCTTTGTTGACAATTTCTAAACTATAAACTGATCAAATTCCAGTGATGTGACATTAGCAAGTTGTCACAGGTTACTTCATTTCTTGTCCCTTTTTATTTTTGTTATGCAGTACAGTACATTTTTGTTACTGTTTTTGTTAGTTGACACACCTTGAAATCATAATATTTCAAGGTGTGTCAAAAATTTTGGAGGAAATGATTATTTAATCCCCTCTTGGTATTTGTAAATGTATTCAGTCAAAGAGAAAGAAAAAGCTTTTTATTTTATTAGAAACTACAATACAATGCTTCTGCTGATTTTTCTCATTTATACTGGTTTAATTTTAATTGAAAGGAACTGACCTTCAACTTAAAAAAAATCCAGAAAATGTATGATATAAAACTTAAATAACATTATGTTAAACTACAGTTACATCCCTTTCACTCAACCAGAATTTGGACTTTTATAGTGTGATTATGTTCCCATGTAGCACACAGACAGCTGTGATTTAAGCTCTGATATTTTCTTGACTCATGTTTGGATGATGAGAAACATTTGAGTGTGACTCAAAGTGAAGCCCTGAGGTGGACCTACAATGACTTGGGCTGGGTGACTTGAGTGGCCAATGGACAGACCCATGTAGTGTAAAACCATCTTCCTTCAGCATCATAATGAAGATTATGTGGTAACACTTTATTTGAAGGGGGTTGAACAAGACTGTCATGACACTG